ATGGCTTAAAATAGTTTTTCCTGGTTTATGCTACAGCCGTGCATGTAGTATTCCTCTCTCAGACAGCTCCTGGATCGGCTTCTCTGATTGGCTGACGCTCGGCGTCCAACTAGAAAATCCTGTTATTGTCCCCAAATGGGGACATTCTGGTGTTTATAGCAGCAAAAAGATTATAGAAAAAATGGTCACATAAATAAGGACCTTAGAAAAATTTATAAGAATAACAATAAAAATATAAAACTGTTCACCTGGAGAATAAATAACCAATATGCAGCTATGGACATCATTACAGTAATGGATTTTTGAAAATAGCAACAGCATCAGAGATGTGCAGAATGACAGCAGCAGGTTATTTAACTGACTGAGGTAGAAAGTGAGCAAAATCAGCATAAATGGAACAATTTATTGAGGATGTTGGGAACAGTGGTGGTTCTAGAGTCTTCCAGCTGCTGGGAGGAAGGATCTGTGATAACGCTCCCTGGTGCATTTAAGGTGCAGCAGTCTGTCACTGAAGGAGCTGTCCAGTTCAGCACCAGCTTCATGCATTCGGTGGGAGACATTATCCAACAGATGTTAATTCAGGATTCTTTTGTTTCCCACCTCCTGCACTGACCCAGAGGGCGTCCAATCAGAGAGCTGGCCTTCCTGATCAGCTGATCCAGCAGCTTTTGGCTGATTTATACTTGGAAACCAGGTCGTCTGCGTGTGTGTGTGTGTCGCAGTGAATTCAAATATCCTTCCGCAGACACACTGCAGCACCATCTGCGGTCACCTACAATTTTGGAGAGATGCACCAGACAGATTGGTCAAATCTACTTCCGCTCTACACTCTATCCGTATTTCCTGTTTGGTTCCTTACCGGCTTGTTTTGTTTGTATGACCGCCATTATGGAAAACGACGCGTGAAGATGGACCAGCTAGAAGAGCGAGATGCGCGAGAACGCTGGGACCCTTTTTCCACCTGGATCCCCGCTCTTTTTGGCCCTCATGTCCCTCCGTTGTGGCATAAACTCGCCCCCACTTCCTCATCGCCTCGGCCATATCTAGACCCACACCTAGTTCTTTGTCTTGCAGACCACGCTTCAAAATTGGACATGAATAAAAAAAATCTGCGACCTCCAAAAGAGGATGATGATGCTGGCATTATTTTCTTGGATCTGCATTGGTCGATACGTACAAGCATTAGCCCGTTTACTTGCTACCTTTTGTTGATTTTCCAGATTTTATTTTATTTTTTTTAACTAAATTTTTCTTGTTTTGTTTTAATTGAGACGTTTTTAACATTTTTAATAATCGTTTCTTTTTTATTGTGTAAATGGAGAAAGAAAACAGCGGTACTGGCGTCAAGAATCAACCAAGAAATGTCAGCAGTACATATTGGAGATCAGTTAGACCAGCGGTCCCCAACCACGGGGCCGCCGACCGGTACCGGTC